ATCCTCTGCAGTATGTGTGTGTGTGTGTGTGTGTGTGTGTGTGTGTGGTTCCATCTGTTTCACCGCATTAACTTTACACCAGTGTTAACTGGAAGATACTCCACATGCAAAGTTGTGCAAATGTGACTTAACTTCTGCTTCTCTTAAATTGAGCTGTATACTTATTTTTCTTTTTTTTTTTTTACCTCCTTGTGCTGCTGTTGTTACATCCTTTCCTGCTCTCCTTCAAATCTTTCCTTCTGTTCATTTAGCTCCCTTCGGTCTGTGCAGATTAGAGTCAAACAGTTTTCATTTTGCACATTTGTCATCATGGTACTCCCTGTATTTCGAAAAACTGGGATGTTGTAAAAAATGTTAATAAAAACCGAATGCAATTATCTGCAAATCTCAAACCACTAAGAAGCATAGTGAGCATACTGGGCAACAAAAACCTGTTAAAATAAGTGGTACAAAAGAAAAGCTGGAGGAGCATTTATCATATTTTCAAGCGTATATGTCACAGTGTTTTGCATAGATTTGCCAGTCCTGCGACTTATATGTTTTTTTTTGTTCCATATTCATAACACAATTTTTGACTCGACGCTTGAAATGTTCATTTATACTGACCACCAGTAAACTAACAAACCAGTAAACATTACCATTTTGCAACCGCTAGAGGCGCGAGAGGGTCCTTTAGGCTTTTGACAACTACCGCTATCCCCCCCACACACAAACATTCACTTAGAGACAACTGAGAAAAACTTAACACAAGTAAAATGCCCCCAAACCGAAAATCCTATTTTGCAGAATACAAACTGCAGGTAATAAAATATGCAGCCCACAACGGTAATCGAACGGCTTGGACTGATGCGACTTATACACCGGAAAATATGGTAGTGACTAATCAGGTTAATTAGCAACATGTCAGTAGGAGCATTGAAAGAGCATTTCAGAAAGGCTGAATTTATCAGAAGTAAAGATTGGCAGAGGTTAACAAGTCTAGAAAAATTGTTTAAACCATTTCAGACAAAGGTTCCTGAATGGAAAATTGAGAGGACATTGTGTACAGTAGAAGATTTTGAGAATTTGGATAAATCTCTGAGCTAAAGGACAAGACTGAAAGTCCATAATGATGCAGGGATCTTCAGACCCTCAAGTGGCACTGCAATAATAAAAAGAAACATCCATTCCTGTATGCACTCAGGAGCACTTCCACAAGTCATTGTCTGTAAACACAATCCAGTCCATAACTGACAGTTAAAGCTCTATCATGTGAAAAAGAAGCCATGTATTTAGAAGCTGTCTTCTCTGGACCAATCATTTAAAATGGACTCTGTAACAATGGAAAACTGTTCTGTAGTCGGACAAATAAAGAATAAATATTTGGTTTTCATGGATGCCACATCCTCCTGTTTGAAAGAGGAGAGGAACCGCCCAGTCTGTTATCAGCATGCAGTTTTAGAACCTACTTCTCTAATGGTATGGGGGTGCATTAGTGCCAAAGAGCAAGGACAGCTTACACATCTGGGAAGTTACCATGAATTTAGAAAATAAGTTTTAGAACATGCTGTGGACGTGGTCCTGTCCCAGCGTTTTTGAGGTGTTGTGTTTTCCTAAGCGTTTCACAATAATCTTAGATTGAACTTTTAACAAGTTTGCTATTGTTCCACAATAAAATAAAAAGTGGATTCATGAGATTTGCAAATCGTTGTGTTCTGTTTTTATTTAAATCTTACACAGAATCCCAACTTTTTTGGGCAAATTTGGGTTGTATTTCCTATAATGTTGTTTTGCTCATAAAGTGTATTTTAAAGGGTACCTTTGATCTTCTACCTTAGCTGACACTGCATTTTTTTCTGCAACGAAGGGTTAAAAAAAGGCCACATATTTAATAGAAAATATGTGCAAGTGCCTTCCCTCCACTTCCCATCAACCCTCCTTACCTTATCCCCCCAGTTCAACAAAAGCGCCAGGCCTGCAGCGTGCTTTCAGAACCTGGTGCAGGCCAATGTGAGGAACAAGAGGATCCTGAAGGAGGCTGTGCAAAGGATCAAAGCTGAGGGGATCACCAACTACACGAGTGGCTTTGAGCTGGCCTTCCAACAGCTTAACCAGGTAGGTATGATTAATGAACATCAGGGATCTATTTCTGATCCTACTGGTAAAAGAAGGTTGGAACTTCAACGATGTCACTTGTTTTAAGTTTGAAAGACTGAAAACTGAATCTCTGCTGACCTCTTCTGGTTGTTTCTGTTGTTGCATGCTTTTTAACATCTGTGCAAAAGTTTAAACCTATGTTAAAGCATTTCTGCATAGTTTATTTTTGGGGTGGTCACACTATTGTAACATAGCTTGACTGATATCGTTTCCTGTCACCCAGACAAATGTGTCACGGGCCAACTGTAACAAGATGATAATGCTGTTCACCGATGGGGGGGAGGAGAAAGCAGAGGAGATCTTTGCCAAATACAACCCCAAGCAAAAGGTAGGCTTGCTATAACCCAGTTTTACAGATATCAGGCTGAAACATGTGGTAGTAGCTGAGAGTCGTTAACAATACAGAGTGTGACGTCTCACAGTTTATTTTGAAGGTTTGATCAAAAGGGCTTTAATGCTGTCTTTTTTCTGATGTAGGCAACCAGCATTCTTTAATTTTTAATATTTAAAGTCTTAATTATTTATATCAAATGTCCGTTTCCTCCCAGGTGCGCATCTTTACCTTTTCCGTTGGTCAACACAGCTATGACAAAGGGCCCATACAGTGGATGGCCTGTGCCAATAAAGGTACCAAGCCTGTAGTGACTGAGCATGTAAATGTTTTATGATCTGATCAGGATTTTATGGATGAAAATAATACGACTCAAAATTCGTTAAACTCATAAACAAACATTAGTTGCTTTAAAATGATTTTATATTTAGGGCTCTTGTTTTAATAATGATCTCCCTTTAATTCAGGGTATTATTATGAGATCCCATCTATTGGGGCCATTCGAATAAACACTCAGGTAAACGCCTTCAGTTTTAAAAACACACTTTTGTTTTCTTTTAATATTTTTTGCCACTTTACTTAAAAGCCTCAAGCTACTAACTACATGTGTATGGCGCCCTCTTGTGGTAAAATATGTAAGTTGCCGATTAAGTCACTCTAATCGTCTTGGCAGGAGTATTTGGATGTTTTAGGTCGGCCCATGGTCAAAGCGGACAGGAGGGCCAAACAAGTCCAGTGGACCAATGTCTACCTGGATGCACTGGTAAGTTATCTGGTCTAACTAACACGTGTTACATGAGCTTACATTGGTTATGGTCTGTAAACACAAACTGGACAGCTAGATGAGCCAATTAACCCTGAGTGTTTTAGTGCGAGTCCCTCCTCCTCAACTGTAGAATAAACATTTTAGAGTTTAATCAACTTTGTTGAGAAGTAGCACCCTGGGTGCTCCACAGGATGACAGTCAGGTGGCCACACAAGCTTAGCTTCAGGGCTCACAAGGTCAGTTTAGAGGAGCAGCAACAGCAGAAAAGTTCTTACAGAAACTCCTGAACCCACCATTCCAAGAAAGGGCTGTAGCTCACACCTTGAAGAGGGAACAGGAAACAGCTTCTACTTTGGAACCAACTTGTCCACTGCCCACCAGTTTTCCAAGATAAACCACTGTGGCACGCCCAGACTCACATTTTGAGAGGTGTGCAGTTCTTCCCATGAATCAGAATACACAGCAATGTCATCAAGATATGCTTCACCCCAGCACCCCATACAGAACTTTGACCAGACGCTGAAGCGTTGCGACACATTGCGCACGCTGAAAGGCATCACTGTAGATTGTAGAAAAGTGTCAGGAGCACAAATGTGGTGACACAGGGTACATAAATAAATAATTTATTGATAACACTGTTACTGGAAGTGGAAGAGGTCTGTTTTGTGTTGTATGAAATAATTTTAGACAAGTCCTCTTCAGTCATTTAAAGAATCTGCAACAATATCGTTTTTTGCTTCATTTTGTGTAAAAAGAGATAAATTGTTGTGTTTTTCTGCCATTTATCATTCTGTCAGGATTTATTCCCAAGCAATGGTGTAGATAAGAAAACAGACTGATTAAAAAAAAGTTTGGATGTTATCAGACGCTGTCGACTTTTAAAACAGTTTTGTCATTTGGTCATGGATTTATTATTTATTTTTTAGTTAAGTCATGAACTCTACAGATTTTTATGTGATAGCAAAGTATCTCATGAACTCAAGACTGAGTTTAATGAAACTTTCAGATAAAATTCACTTGGTGAGCATCTACAAATGATTACTGTTGGGAGTTAATCCCATTCAATATGGCTACCAAAGCTAGGTCACATTAACCAACACAAAAAGAGCTATAAATCTGTCACTTTTACAGATATTGAGCTCAGATTTGGTGTGGTAGTCGCTGGCAGTTATTCTCAACACAAACAGTGAGCATTAACTGATCTCTTAAAGTTTTGTGGTTTTGATTTGACCAAAACAACTCCATTATATTTGATATGTTAGACTAGAACTCTGTTTTTTTATTATTAATGCGTTTAATTATGAATGGGTTGTTTTTATCAATTAGAAGAAATGTATAAAACACTGAAAATGTTAAATTTTTACCAGGACATTATTTTCTCTGAGCTCAAAGGATTAAAGCTTAACACATTATTAAAATGTGTGTTTTATTTTTCAGGAGCTTGGTCTTGTGATCACTGGAACTCTGCCAGTTTTTAACAAAACAAACACAGGCTCGAAGGTAACGTGTCTTTTTATTTTTTCATTTTGACACATTCTAATAATTTCTGACACTAGCTTTGGACATCCTGCCTTCTGATAATTCAGCAGAGGTGGACTTTAGCATCGTCCAGTGAACAATGCATTACTTTAATGATGAGCACAAGGCTGTCCTGTGATTTAACTGAGGGAACGAGTGTTGCACACATTTTATCAAGCTGCTCTGTGAATTCAATGTGATGTTGCTAAACAGCTTTCGCTGCTTTTCTGTTTGCAGTTTGGGCAACTTGTTGGTTTAATGCTGAAATCTGCTAAATCTTTGGCTTTTAGGAGTCACTTTTTAGCCCCCAATGTTAATATATTTGCCAAGATTCATGTCCACATCAACATCATCGAACACCTATTTACTTGTGTAGCCCCATAAGATCACACTCCCACCACCATGCTTCCCTGTTAGAACTCTTGTTTGTAGCCAGCATGATACAAAATATCTTGGAACCGAACCGTGCTAAAGAAAAATGCGGTGATAGATTTTTTTGTGTTTTAGAAAGTAGTAATACGAGGAGTTTAATTCAAAAGATTGAGCAAAATTCTGTGTTTGACTTTGGAGAAGCTGCTGTCAGCCTTTTTAAGTGTCTGACTCATAACATTTATTGATGATAAAAGCCCTTGTAAGTCTAAAGCACTTGCAGGTTGCAAGTAGACGTCTAACCCTGTCTAAGGCAGAGGTATTCAAGTTATTGCTGGGGGGGGGCACAGTTACTGAAAGCCAAGAGCTCAGGAGCCAGAAATCCAGCATTGATTGACATTAAGTAAGTTTGTTATATGGTTTAAAATCTAGTTTTATTTAAAAATGAACCATTTGTTGGCCGAACTGAGCTTACTCTGGGCCTGATTTGGCCCCTGGGCCTCCAATTGAAGAACCTTGGTCTAAGGCCTCATCTCAGAAGGGAAGGTCCTGGAGTTTAGAGTAGGGACACTTGCAGAAAAAGTCAAATTTATATTATATATATATATATATATATATATATATATTTATATATATATTTATATATATATATATATATATATATACACATATTAGGGGTTGAACAACTACATAATTTTTAAACTCGACATTAACATAATAAAACTCAAGTAAAACTTGAGTAGTTGATGACGTCATGGGATCTCAAGATTCAAAAATAAATAAAACTGCAAAAAAAGCAATTTATTATTTACAAAAACAAAAAAAAGACCAACAAAACATTGGGAGTGTATATTCTGCTCCTACCATTTATCATACTGCAAATAAGTCACAGGAAAACCAAAACTATTAGTTTTTATTATTAAGCTGCAAAAGTGAAAGAAATGTGCGGCACGTAAAAAAAAAAAAAAACTAAAAACTGGGGTGGACACCCACCGCCCACAGTGATGCACGTTAGGTTTAGTTTTAGAGATTAATATGTTTATAGTTTTTTTTAATAGTTAGAGGTTAATATTTTTTGCTTTTTGGTTGTGAAACAAGGTCAGAGGAAGCTGGCTCTGGTTCAGTCGATTGGACCGGGTGTTACACCATCTTCTGTGACCTGCAACACTGCCCCCTATGGTCACAATATACAGTGGTCACAGAATATGGTGTAACACCGGTTCGCAATGAGCTCCAGTCAGTCAGGAAGTTGATTCATTTTCTGTTTCCATATGGTTGTTGAACCAGAAGATTCATCTTTAGTGAAATATTTCTATACTATTGATGCATTTCTACCTGTTTGCCAAGACTGGGCCTGCTCCGCTCCATCTGTCTGCTTGGAGGAATCCATTTTGTGACCTGCGCCTGGTGTGGAACACGTGACGCAATGACGTAAAAGCAACGTAATGACGTCACTACGAATATTCAATGTGAAATAAAAAAACTCAAGAGATGTCCTAGGAATCGATGTGTCGATTACTCGAGTAGTTTGTTAAAGCCCTTATATATGTGTATATATATATATATATATATATATATTAGGAATTCAAGTGCAAAAGGTGCCAATTTGATTTTTTTTTTTTTTTTGGTATTCACAGGTTGGTTGACAATATTGTTTCATTTAGACTATTTGGACTGAATAGTTCTATTGATTACTAAATTGGTGTTCAAAAGTACTTATTTCTTTAATAATCAGTAAAGATTTTGTTCAGTTTTGATGCAAATAATCTGCAGCATTATGTGTCTAAATGGATCATAGGAGAAATTGTGATAGATATAATGCTGAACACATTTACTTTTATTTTCACAGAAAATCTTGCATTATTGTCTCAATGTGTTTATTTTTGCATTTCATTTAGTTTTCTTTAGACGTACGACCCTTAGACCTGTGGTTCTGGGACATGACAAAATGTTTGCCAGATCAAAAAGTGAATAAGGGGGAAAAAAAAACAAGTCAACATGAATATTCTCAAGTGTTGTCTCACCCATTGCTTTCATCCTCTCCTTTCTTGTGGCTTTTGGCTACATCCTCTGTTGATGCAGAGGGTCCTCCGAAGCTCCGCACAAATGGAGAATCCAGGATGTCAGACAGCAAAAACCAGATCAGTCCTCCAGATCAGAGTAGGGGAAAAGGCCCAGTAGCTAAATGCTTCAAGATGAGTTCACATGTCCACCTCGAAGGACTCCGGGCTACCTCTGGGGTGACTGAGAGCAAACCCTGGAAATGCCTCGTCGGTGACTCATTGCAGCACACGAAGCTTTTGGGAATGAAACTGTCCAGATTTCTATTGCAACCATTTGCCTGAAATCACTCAGAATTCACAGAGGGACTTGACTCATCCAGGAAGATCAACAGAAGAGTTTCTCGTTGTACAGCTGACATTCTTCTCTGTTTTTCCTGTGCCTTTTATTTCTCACAGAAGTCCCAAAACCAGCTTATCTTGGGGGTTATGGCTATTGATGTCTCCCTGGAAGACATTAAGAGACTGACTCCTCGGTTTACAGTAAGAGCTCACTTTGCACAAATAAACACATAACAATGTGTACCTGGGCTTTCTATTCTTTTCTCAAGTGAATATTTTACTCATTTTCTTTTTTATTCTTTAGTTTGGACCAAATGGCTATTACTTTGCTATTGATCCAAATGGATATGTGCTGCTCCACCCTAATCTTCAGCCGCTGGTAAGCACAATTACACAACAATAATCAAAAGTAACAAAATGTCATGGGCATGTGTAACCCTAAGCATCTCTCTACAAATCTTAAAATCCTAACTATATGCAGTGTATTAAACACTAGAAGAGCATGTTTAATATAAAAAACATATATTATTAAGAGGCCGTGATCTGAGGCAGAGCAATCCATAATTTAGGGGCAACAACAAAAAAGGCTCTGTCACCTCTTGTTTTTTATTTTGAAGCCAGGACGCCCAAAAGAGGTTGATGTTGACCTCGCTGCTCTGACTGGAACATGATGGTGCAGCTAATGGCCATGAATTTAGGAGCATTTCCTAGTAATGTTTTTTAAAAACTGGATTCTGAAACAGGACTTCATCGTGGAGTAGCCAAAACTGGGATGGCATGGTCCTTTTTGCCATTTAATAAGCAAGCTGTGCAGCTTGAACTATAGTATAATGTGTTTTTCATTCAACATTTATTCATACAGGTTAGTCTCATTGAGCCACAAAGACTCATTTACAAGAGAGACTTGATTTAAACAAAGAACACAGATGAGGTACAGAAAACAATAGACAATCGTGTAAAAAGTATATAAAATGAAAAGTAAATAAAAGAAATTATATAAAAATGAAACAAAAAAAACCCAGCTGCATTATAAAGAGATGTAAGATACTAAAAACAGGAGCATGTCTGCGTTGGTTTTTGCAATGAACTTAACAGATGTTTAAAATCCCTTAGAGAGGTCAAGGTCGAGAGCTTCAGATCTTTTTGCAAGATATTCCAGGAAACAGGAGCGGAGTAGGAGAAGGCCCTTTTGCCTAGATCAGTCCACATTGAGGGAACACTGCAGGTAATAATGTCCTGAGAGCGCACGCTGTAGCTGCACTCA